TTAAAAAATATTATATGAAATTTATATTATTTACATGAGAGGAGCTATAATTTTTCATTTTTTCTCTCAAAAATGCTTGATAAAAATCAAATTGTATTATATTATTGTATATTTATTTAATGAAATTATTTTCAATAAACCACCAAGGCGAAGGAACGCTGTTCGGTGCAGTTATTATTATTATCTATACCGGGTCTCCGAAATTCTCATATAAACTTGCTATGTGATACCTATTGAACAGATTTTTTCTCAGTTCTCATACATATAGTACATAAAGTTATGATTGAAATGTCCAAAAAAAAAACTTTTTCTCAAACTGTCCCCCGAAAAAATTTCTATGAATAGGACTCAAAAAAAAGTTTACAATCGAAGTGTCCCTCAAATTTATTGCAAATGAAAATGGCACTTAGGAAAATTTACATGAATCTTTTTTGTGGGGACATTTTAGTTTGAAACAAATATTCGGGACACTTTAATTTGAAATAATTCTGTGGGACACTCCAGTTTGAACCAAAATTGAGTTTCATTATTATTCTTAACCATTCATATATCAACTTGGATCAATTGCTGGATGAATGCGGAGACGTATCATTTGACATTGACATAAATGAAGTCTATGTGTTGAAAGCCTTGCAAGCGATCAACGTGAACAAAGGAGCCGGACCGGATGGTATTTCACCAAAACTGCTGAAAAACTGTGCACATACATTGTCAAAGCCATTAACAATGCTATTCCGTAAGTCACTACTTCGAAGTCTGGAAAGAAAAGCAGTGCATCGAATTATCGACCGATCGTTATAATACCAACAATAGCAAAACTTTTCGAAATTGTTGTGTATAACAAAATTGACACATTCATTAATTCGAAAATCAGCCACAGCCAACATGGATTCGTGAAAAATCGATCAACATCGACAAATTTACTTCAGTTGGTGAATTTCACGATCGACTCGATGACCAAAAAATGCCAAACAGATGTATTGTACAACGATTTTGAGAAAGCCTTCGATCGTGTGAACCACAAGAAATTACTACAGAAGCTGGTGGGTTTTGGATTCGGCCGTGGACTTGTCAAATGGTTTCATGGATATTTGACAGCTCGCACACAATTTGTTGGAATCGGTGAACGAAGGTTGTTCGGGTAGTCAGTAAAAGGCAATGGGTTTCTTTTTTGTATTATTTTATTTTTATGTCTGTCATACACGGACTGTTCTTAAACACTAATTGTATACGGGCAGCACGGCACTGCCGTGCTGCTTAGTTTATTGAGGTGCCTGTACGATGTAACTACACAGATGCTTGTATCTGTGTGTTACTGCGTCGTACAGGCACTTGCTCAGCACAGTGCACCAATACCAGTATAAAATACTGTGTATTTGGCCACTGTACTGAACAAAGGTCAAGGACTTTCACTGTATCTTCTGGAGTACCAGCGGGAAGTATTTTGGGACCTTGTCTCTTCATTATTTTTATTAACGACATTGTCGAAATCGTGTCAAATGCACTTGTATTATTATTTGCAGATGATCTGAAATTAATCCGTTCCATACAATCGCCCATTGACGCCATCATTTTTCAAAATGCCATAAATCAATTGTCAGATTGGTGTACCGAAAACAGCCTGCATTTGAATCTAAACAAATGTTTCGTCATGACATTTGCAAAAGGTGGGAAAATCGACTATGAATATACGATCAACAATGGCCAACATACGTTTGAAAGGATCAATGTTCACAAGGATCTGGGCGTTATTTTCGACACGAAATTAACGTTTGTCAACCACATCGACATGATTGCAGCAAGTGCACACGCGGCAATGGGCTTCTTGAAACGCACATTGAAAAATAAGTTCACTATCGAATCGGCAAAAATCTTATATTGTGCACTGGTCAGGTCAAAGCTAGAATACGCGAGTATTGTATGGCAGCCATACCATCGTATCCACTCCGACAGAATAGAGTCAATTCAAAAAGATTTTGTGATATGGACATTAAGATTTATATATCAGAGAGACGAGAATTTTGTATTGCCACCGTATCATTTTAGATGTAATGTTTTAAATATTCAACCGCTTTGGAGACGGCGTATAAATGCCTCTATATTTTTAATTTATGATCTCCTTTTGGGTAAAATAGTGTCTAGTTCGCTTAGAAATAAAATTGTATATACACGACTGCAATACAACGAAAACCAAAGAAATTTAAGAAATACAGAACTGATCAGAGCTAGAACATTCACATCGGAGTATGCACACAATCAACCATTTTACGTGGCTTGTAGAAACTTTAATTTAATAAGAGAAACATTTTTGGAATCGGCATCGAGACAAACTTTTAGAAATAATATTGTTAAATTTGACAATGTGATATTTAATAATCGATAAATTGGCTAGTTAAGGACAATTGTGTTATGATTTAGAAATATGCAATGGACACAGTCGATATCTGCTGCTCCGAAGTCGAAAAGACTGGTGGCTGGATATTCGATCGGGTAGTGTTTCATTGCGAATGATATTGTAAAATAATTGTGATACATATATTCAGTCTGAGAACAGGCGGTGAAATAAATAAATAAAATAAATATGTCATTTTAAGGTTATACCATGGCTTATTCTTTATTTTTCTAATACAACATCACAATTTTATGTTGATTTTTTTATGAAAAAAATCAATTGCAGTCAAAATTAAGTCTAAAAGGCAGTCTTTTTTTCAATTCATTTACGTTCGTGACAATTTTTATGTCATATAAAGATATATTTTTGCTTGAATCTAATGATCCTATTGAAAATATGGTAAAAAAACAAAGTATTGCAATAGAAAAAAGAGTGGTGAAATGTCATGAATATCATTCTGAATCTGAAGAATTGATGACAGGCTGCTTCTTACACTTTTTGCATTTGATGATTGAGTAAGCATGCTGTTTGCAAACATTTTTCCGACATACTTCGCACATTTGTTTGATTTTTCGATCAACGCTGCGTGGACAAATATGGCACCGACGTCTAATGTTCTTCTTGGTAGCTCGTGATGTGGATGGCTCTACGACAGTCGTGTCATTTCCAAGAATATCACTAATTGATTGTCGTTGACCAATCGTTAGGCCTTGTGTACTGCGTCGGGCAATCTGTTGATACGTGAGCTCAATGTAGAGACGCGTAAGAAAATTCTTCCGTTCTTCCTTCACACGATCATCGAGCTTGTTGTTGGCCGTACGCCACATGGCATACGCTACGACTCCAGCAACGTTCACCAAATTCATGAAATATGCCATCGGCCATCGATTTGTTTTGCGCTGAACAGTATACGTGTGACACAATTCATCGAGTACGTCAACACCGCCTTTGAACTCGTTGTAAAACATGTTGATTTCAGCTTTGCCATTCTCTTCTACTCTATCGGTACGATGCAAAGTTGATAAAAATATGACACTTTTTTTCGGTCGAGGAATATGCGAGAGCAAAGTGCATGTTCGTCGGAAACCAAATAAGTTTGAGCCGACTTCACGTTCATTTGATGGTTTGAATTCAGGCGGGACAAACTTTTTGTTCTTACGAACTGTACCAACGCTGTACAAACCATTTGTTTGCAGCTCTGCTTGCGTATCATAGTTTGAAAAAAAATTGTCAAACACAACAGTTCGGTTCGTCCTAAAATAAAAAAAAACATAGCTTAGAGTATAAAAATATTATTTGAAATTTTGCTAGTCAATATTTACTTGTAATATGGTTGACACAAATTGAGAACGATGTTTTTTGCAATGTTTATTTGACGTGCAGCACCAGAACGTTCTCGACCAAGGTACGGAATTGCCTTTAGTGGATACCAATTTTTGGCATCTACCAACCAAAAAATTTTCAAACCGTATTTGTCAGGTTTGCTCGGAATATACTGTTTGAAACTGCATCGTCCTCTGAATGGCACTAGCTGCTCATCAATAGTCACGTTTTCTCCTGGTGAATACATTTTTTCTAGGTTCTTCACAACCATATCAAAAAGGTCCCAAATTGGAGCCAATTTATCTTATTGCCGCCGTTCCGAACGTGTATCTTTGTCATCAAATCGTAAAAAGCGTAGCAACTCCATGAAACGTGTCAAGCACAATGTTGCACGAAACAATGGCATTCTTCGTGTAATTCCATAGAATTCACGATAATTCCGCTTACTTGATCTATCAACACCGGCGGCAAACAGTAAACCAATAAATGCACGAATTTCAATATCGTCGGCTGAGAAAAAATTGCGTTGAAATAGTCGAAAGGACTATCGAAATGTTGACCAGGAACTTTTGTGACCGTCATCAATTTTGATCGATTTGGATTGCGTTGCTGTCGTGCCCATTGAACCGGCTCGTGCTCCCATTCAGTTCCGTCTTTGCCAGTGAACACGGTGCTTTCTTCTACCTCTTCATCATCAACGTTCATGTCTTCGTTCTCGCTCTCGCTCTCACTATCCTCTTCAAAATTACTTTCATGATCTTCTTCACTGTCGGTGAGGTCATCGATATAACTTTCTTCTTCGTCAGCAAAATCGGCATCCAAACTCTCATCGTCATCATTTGCTTGCATTGCATCAGCAATTTGACGCTGTGTTAGCCGTCACAAATTAACTATCGGTTGAAACATTCTACACATATGAATCACAAAAATAATTGCACAATTAAACCAATCGAAAAAGCAAAACAGCGAAATAAAATATTTTACCTTTTGTCTCGAATATTTTCATGTAAAAATACAAGCGGAAAAAGATGTCAACGAATAAAAATTTACGTTTGGAAGACAATATAAATATAAATATAAAGAAAAATATATATTCAAAACAAATCACTGCTTTGTTGTTTACCGGAATGTAAACACTGAATGTTGTGTCAACGAATGTCTTTGAGTTTCATATTTGGTTATATGTCATTTTTCATACAAAATCCTTTGAGGCCTAAAGCGACCCCTGGTGTGTTTTTACGTTAGCTTTTGGTATAAAACTTTCCAAAACTCCATCTGTGCATCAAACATGGAAATATTTGATTGTATATCATAGATATGATATTAAGAAAGAAAGCGCTCAACGGAATTTTCCAATTTAAAATTTTTTTTTTTTTTTTTTTTTTTTTTTTTAAACAACTCTTAGGGCCTGTGAGACCCCACCTGTGCGTTTAAGGTTTAAAATCCGAACAACAACTAGAAGTAGATGCTCATATACCAAATGAACGAATATTAATTGAGACGGACTGTCCATGGTGCTGGATAAGACCAATTCATGCAGGTGACATTTAAATATACTCGGTGGGCAAAATTTTTCAAATTAGTGTAAAATCGCAAAAAATGTCGGTGTATTTGCCCAATTTTGGTGTATTCAAGCAAAATTTTAATTATTTAACGTATTTTTCCAATTTTTTTGGTGTAAATTTCGGTGCATTAAATACACTGCGATATTTAGTGTAAAAGAAACTTTGAAATTAAATTTTACACGAAATATAAGTAACGCAGTGCGTCACTATCATCTAGTGTAAATGAAACACGCATGGTGTAGATAAATCACTGGATTTTGGAGCATAATATACACCACTACCGTAAGTAGTGAAAAATATACATCAGACATTTGGAGTGTATACCTTACACCGAAAATAGTGAGCCGATTCAACCAAAAATATCCAGTGTAATCAATACACTGAAAAAAGGGAAAATATACACTGAAGCCATATTTTTGATAATTTTTGTCGTGTAAAGTATGGAAATTTGGAGGACATGCTTGCAATCACATCTTCAAGAATATTAAAATGAATTAATTTCATAAATATTGGGACTTAAATTATTGCAATATTGCTTATCTTTCAATATTTTCATGATCTGAGGGCAAAAAATTGCTTTTTTGATGTAAAAATGAAAAATGAGAAAAAATTGCAAATTTTCGAAAAAAGTATTTTTATTAAATCGGCATAATATCAAATGCGCATAAATTAACGTCGACACAACTGATGTCCGAATAACACTCGGCATGACGATGTAACTAAAATGTTGCGAAATTCTTGATATGAAATTTTCTTATTTGAAATGACTTGTGTGAACAGGATTAAATACACAGCATTTTTCACATAATGCATTGTATCACAGCGGACGGCAGTTCGCGTGAGTGACGCAACCACATTAGTGTGTTGAAAAGTCAAACTCTCTTTATATATACACGAAATATACGAAATCCAGACCCAAAAGGCCTTTGGCCGCGGTTGTTGTATGGTTGGAAAGCCCTTGGGAAGAAAAAATATAATAGTTTGAAAATCGGTTCACCTGTCTTCAAAATATGGTCCTTTCAAGAAAAGGGTCAAAATTCATTTTTACGGCCAAAGATGGCACTAAATGAGGTCGTTGACCCCTGAAACATCGATATTCTGATTCAAGAGCTCAATACCTCTCCAACAATATCTCAAACGTCGAAATCGATCAATCCGATCAAAAAATTCCGCATTTTAAAAATTTCATATGATTTTCCTATAAAAGTCATTTGGTATATCTGTCCGCAATTTTGAGTACTCGATTCTGATCTTTTTGAAACTTTCTGTGATAATTGTACACAAAATGTTTCGGCACTTTTCGATATGGCTGCCATGTTGGCCGTGGCCGGCCTCCAAAAGTCACTTTTTGACTTTTGTTGCTACAGTCACCGAGTTGCCTCCATGTGACACACCCCGGACATTTGCATATCATTGGAAAAGTCTTGAAGTGAGCTATCGAATAGTGCCAATTACGGTCCGAAAATTTCAAATTGCGGTGGCCAAATTGGCCAAAAATCAAAAATGTATCGTTCGGCCGGACACATGACGTACACTATCTCAAAAACTAGCCTAACTTGGTCCATTGAAAATTTCACCTAGTTTAGGCCCAAATCTAAGCTAAAAAACACCGCATAGCTTATATCCCAAAAAATTCAAGTTTTCTAGATATGGCCTTCGATAGTGCAAATAGTGGCCAAAAATGACAAAAAATGTTACTTTTAACATTTGAAGTATTTTATGGACCAAAATGTACTCCAATGACTCTGTAAATATGCTCTGTGACTAGCTAAACAAAATTGAACAAAATATCGACCGTTTTGGATGGCTATTCCACCAAAAATCGGCCAAATGTACCAAAATTTGGATTTTCACAAAAACTAAAAATCCATATTTTCATTGTATTTGAAAAAGATTCAAATTCATATTTCAAAAACAAAACTATTGATATCAAATAAAAAACCTCTATCGAGGTGAAGAACGAGTGACGAAACCGAAATTTGAAAAACAACATTTCTGATATCAATTTTGTGACGAAAATAGTTGTTAGATATATTTTATGTGTACTGTGAATATAAACATAATACACAGAAACAAGTATTCGAGTACGCTTACTCACACTTGCGGTGTTAGTAGAGACTTTACCCTTCAAAATGAGTTACGCACTCGATTTTACTCTATTTTTGGTGTTAGTTTCATCGAACGTATGTGACGATACACTTAGCAATCATCTTCGTTAGCGTATACACAGACTCATATGCACGCAAGGGAACATAACTCGTTGAACGCATGCGGCAACGTACAGATGTACTACACATGTATCTCTTTTTTCACTGTGATGCGTTTACTTCGATGATACTAACACCAAAAATAGAGTTAAATAGAGTGCATAACTCATTTTGAAGGGTAAAGCCTCTACTAACACCTCAAGTGCGAGTTAGCGTACTCGAATACCTGTTTCTGTGTATACATTTGTAAATTCGGAAGGTTGCTTCATTGCGTCAGTATGAACTCAAAGTAAAAAGGAGAGAATTTCTGCAACGTTTTGAATATACAAATGTATATTAAGTTTATATTCACAGTACACAGAAAATATATCTACCAACTATTTTCTTCACAATATTGATATCAGAAATGTTGTGTTTCAAATTTTGGTTTCGTCACTCGTTCTTCACCTCGATAGAGGTTTTCATTTGATTATACATACAATGTGCAGTATTGTCATGATTTGAATCAGCTAAAACAATTGACAGTAAATATTCTATGTTTGATGTGTACAAAACTGAATTTTTTTTTGGTTGAGCGATGAATTTTGCAGTTGACATTTTGCAAATGTTCTGTTATATCAAAACAAAAAAAGAATCAAATGGAAAATTTACGGCGAAATTCATCTCGAAAACACATCTCCTGTGATATTATAATGTGATGAATTCAGAATAAAACTATAGTTACAATGACAACAATTGTGTGAATACAACAAAATTCAACGTTTGTCGGCACAAATTATGATTTCATTTTCATACGAATTTTTATATTTCTGAAAAAAAAAACACCAATTATAATTTTGAATCAATTGTGAATTTTGTTCTATTGAATATGTCACACAACTAAACTGTGAACTATCATCATCACACTGTCGCCACTGGTCCATACCGATCACAAATGCTTGTTTTTGAAATTGATACGTTGAGAAAGTGTTTATCGAAAAAAATGTATGCGTTTCATTTCTTTATACAATAAACAATGGATTTATATTCTTTCCATCAAAATTTATATTCTTTCCATACGGATTTCTTCATATTGCAGACATTATTCTAAGAATTTAAACGAAAACAATATAAGGCGAACTGGAGAGTTCCGAGCACATGACAATAACAATGTTCATAATATCAGAACAATACACAAACATATTGTGTACAATGGAGTATCTTTCTCTTCAGGGAGTCTTAATATCAATCGATGCGTTTTGCAAATGCGATCAATTTTGTGTACTTTAATTCGAGAAATACCAATTTTTTACTTACAGACACGGGAAACACCCTACATTGTACATTCATTTTTATTCATTTCTAAACAGATCCAAATACCAAATTACTTGTGTGTTCAGTAAAAAACAAAGATTTCAATATTATAATAGTATATTGTATAATATTCATTTTTTGTTTCCAAATAGAAATGATAGATGTCGCTTGAATTTTATGGACAACGCCAATGTCGCTTTGACGTGTCATTTGTAATACATTTTATATTTAGTGAATAGGGTATTAAATTCAAAGAAATTTAAAGAAAAAAATCTCAACATACATAAAAAAAGTTGAACAAATCACAAAGTATTCCTTATAAAATTGTAATAAAAGAATCAAAAATGTCGACTAGTGGTGATTTCGGAAATCCATTACGGAAATTTAAATTGGTGTTTTTGGGTGAACAAAGTGTAGGCAAAACATCATTGATTACTCGTTTTATGTACGACAGTTTTGACAATACATATCAAGCGACGATAGGCATTGATTTTTTGTCCAAGACCATGTACTTAGAAGACCGCACAGTGCGTCTACAGTGAGTATTTATTAAATTTATATAAACCAAAAATTTGTTAATTGTTTGTGTTGTTTTCGTGCAAAACAGATTGTGGGACACGGCCGGCCAAGAACGTTTTAGATCATTGATTCCCTCGTATATTCGAGATTCAACCGTAGCTGTCGTTGTTTACGACATAACTAATGCGAATTCATTTCATCAAACATCAAAGTGGATTGATGATGTACGAACTGAACGAGGAAGTGATGTTATCATAATGCTGGTTGGAAATAAGACAGATTTGTCTGACAAACGTCAAGTATCCACAGAGGAAGGTGAACGTAAAGCAAAAGAACTAAATGTTATGTTTATTGAAACCAGTGCTAAGTCCGGATATAATGTAAAGCAATTGTTCCGAAGAGTTGCAGCCGCTTTACCTGGAATGGATTCAACAGAAAATAAATCTCCCGAAGACATGCAAGAGGTTGTTCTAAAAGATTCCCCAAATGAAGAAAAAGATGCGGAAAGTCGTTGTAATTGCTTGAATATGTAAAAAACTGATAGACAAATGATATAAGAGGAAGAAATTTACACAACTGTGTTAATGCCAACACACGTTAATTTATTATTTAAATGAATTACACCACAGAAAAAGAATAAAAGTTTCTTTTATTATACATGTAGAGATAAGAATATTCAGAGCAACTTAATCTTAAAATAACACGAATTAACATTATATTTCATACATTTATAAATATACGCAGCATCTAATTTTCTTCTTTCATTATTAAAAAAAGACTTCAAAAAATCGATTATTTCAGGTGTACAACTCTGGAATTCTTTTCCAATTTTTAACAAGTTTCTATATAAAATTTTAATCAATTGTCAATCTATAATGTTATTCAAAAATTATATTCTAGCTAAGCTAATTGTTTATCGGAAGCAATTTAAAAGCGACAATTGATTTGGAAAATTTTCATTTAAATATTCAAAAATTAACTGAATATTGCAAAAGCTATAATTGGTGTATTTTAGGAGTTTCCCTTTTTCAATAATAACATACTTAAATAAATGTCATATTATTATCGTTTTTAATCCACACATTCAAAATAGCAACCTTTCGTAAACAACAAACTCCAAATAACGTTTTTTTTTTTTAATTACCAAGTATTGTAATTGAAAAAACCAATATTGGTAACTTTATTTTTAGGTTGTCAAAGACATAATAAAGAATTTTTTGATTTCAATATTATTATTTTTTTTATTGAAATTGTCCTCAATGTGAATTCTTGAGCAAATTCTAAAAACATTTTTCAAACGACGAAATTGTGAAAACAAAATTTTAATAATTGATGTCATTATAATTTAAGCATTTTTAAAATTCATTGAGGTTAGGAACGTTCCGGTTTTGACATTGACATACAACATATTTTCTACATCAACGAAAAATGTTTTCTTCCAAAATAGCAAGAGAAATATTTAATAATAAATCCATTGTGGTTAGAAAAGTTGTTTTTAATCAAAATTTAAAATTAGGGCAGAAAAAGCATTACAAGTTTCTTGGATTGACATCTGGTGCATTTGCTTATGATGCATATAACGACTTTCAATTTTATTACGGTGTCACGCGCATTTTTCGTTCATTGAGAATTGCTGTTTGGATTTCTATGGATTATTCATGGAATTTGCTGAGTTTATCAGATGGAACTGTCAAGAAAGAACAGGTAAAAAGGGATGAAAGTTTATGCGACATTTATAAAATCTGTTCATAAAGTAAAAAAATGAATGCAATGCTGCATAATTTTTTCTTTTGCAGAAAATGAAGGAAATACATTTGCGTAGCGCCACAAGGTTGTTAAATGGTTGTTTATGTAGGTCGACGAATTTGTAATTTCCTTTTTAAATCATTTTTAATATATCTTAATTTCACATCATGGTTGTTTAGCTAATGGTGGCCTGTATATAAAAATTGGTCAAGGTGTATCAACAATAAATCATATTTTGCCATACGAATATATTAGCACACTTAGCAAATTGGAGGTAAAAAATAAAAACAAATCGAACCATTCAAAATCATGAGGTAATTTCTTCCCTTTCTTAATAGAATGAATGCTTACCAAGAGGACGGAATGAAGTGAAACATATTTTTGCGATAGAATTTGGCAAATCACCTGAAGAACTATTTGCAAAATTTAATTATACACCAATTGCAGCTGCCAGCTTGGCTCAAGTATTTCGCGCGCAAACTAAAGATGGTCGTGATGTTGCTGTTAAAGTACAATATATAGACTTAGTCAAACGATTTCCCGGAGACATTTGCACAATTTTATCTATATTGTCTTTTGTAAAATTATTTCATAAAAACTTTGACTTTACTTGGATCTTACAAGACCTTCGCAAAAATTTAGAACAGGCAATAAGAGCAATCAATTTAAATCCAAAATGAATGCGGTAGTAAATTTATATAATTAATATTTAATTGAAGGAATTGGATTTCATTCAAGAGGGTGAAAATTCAGAACGTTGCGCCAAAGAGCTTAAAAAATTTGATTTCGTTCACGTGCCCTGGGTCGACTGGAACTTAACATCAAAGGTATATATTATATATTAAAATATATATTTCTGAATAATTATTACTTCTTTCTAGCGAGTATTAACAACAGAATGGATTGAAGGATACAAAATTACTGACGCTCATTCTATAGAAAGAGACAATTTAGATTTATCAGATATTGATCGAAAACTATTCAAGGTGTTTTCTGAGCAAATTTTTAACACCGGATTCATTCATGCTGGTAAATTGAGAAAAAATGGTTACTTTCAAATTTTTCATTGGCGTATTCTTGCACACTACATTTTCAACTTATGAGTTCCCATAAGTGCTTTGATCATGCAGTTTGTGATTTCTAGTTTGTAAGCATGCGCCATATATAATATTATTCAGGCTAAATTTTAAAAAATATCACGTTTATTGTATTTCATAGATCCTCATGGCGGAAATGGTTTGTATTCATGCAAAATTATATAAATGTATATTAGGGTGGTTTTCTGTTTTTGAAAATGTCTACGGCGCTCTTGTAGGCATCCTCATTTTCATCGCGGTTCAAGGAATTGGTAATAGTATTGCTATTGCAGGAGCTCTATAAAATATGCCCACAAAAATGCATTTTAGGAAGAAAAAGTTTCAACAACAATTTTTTTCGTCCGTAAATTTTAAAAAAAGTCATGTAAAACTAATCATTCCATTAATATTTTTCCTCAAAACTCATCAATTTTTGAACTCCCAACGCCCAATACTAAAGCACCATGAATCTATACAAAACCTTTCTTCAGAACTCATTCGTAAATCAGAGGATTGGGTTTCATACAAAATCTAAAAATTTTCGCTTAAATGTTCACACATCGACTTTTTTGAAAATCGAAAGGCAAAAAAATGATTGCTGAAACTTTTTTTTTCTAAAAAATCCAAAATGCATTTTTGACAGAGCGTCCACGAACACCTACGAACGAACCGTTCGTTCACTTGTAGCGTTTTTTTATTCACATTTTCTTCGTTCGTTCAATCGTAGAATTGTGTTGTGTTCGTTCGTAGAAAATGTTCGGACTGTTTGTACAAACAACAAACACGTTAAAATAGTACGTATAACATATGTCCAGAAAGTCTTGAGAGTAAATTCAACCGTTTATTGCGCTGCATAAACAAGATCATCTAGAAGAAAGTCTTTGGACTAAATTCAGGCGTTTATTGCGATACATAAACAAAAATAAAAATGTCAACCAATACACATAGGATACTTAAAGAGACTCCTACTCCACTGTCAAATACAATTTGCACAAAAATTTCCATTCGCGATGACGTTCAAATTGGATTTACTAAAAAGTGTCTCAAATGGTTTTGGACAGCTAAGTTCAAAACAAATTCTGCATGTGTCTAAAGATGAACCAATCTGTCTTCGAACCATGTATCGTGTTTCATGGACTTAATATGAATATAAAGATTCTATAAAAAGCAAAAAGTCCGGTCGTATTCCCAATCTGTCAGCTCAATCCTTTCAAAACTGTCACCAAGTGCCAAAAATTGGTTTGGTAAAGCAAACATTTTTGGTGATTCTTATGGTTACAGCACATCCAAATTTGAACCAAAACAATAGATTTAGACGCGCTCATTAGTAATCAGCAAAATAAGTTGTAACACTGAAAAATTCACCATTTTGGAGAGTGAAACATTGGGAGAAAACTTTTGTTACACAAAAATGACCATGAAGGGGGGGGGGGGATTTGCATGGGAGCGACATGAGAAAACTTGACATCAGCGCCAGTCCCTCATAACTAAAAATGGTACAAATTCGCAATAGATGGCGCTCATAAATCGACTTATAAACACGCTTACATTTTATTAGAAGAAAAATGAAAAATATTGAAATATTTTTAAATTAGTTTAGGGTTTCAATTTAATTCAAGTTAAAAGATGTGATTCTAGTGCTTCTTTTGTTTTCAATGGTTTTTAATGAATTATAGAAAATATCAAATGTGATATTTGTTATTTCGATATGTCGAAAATATTGTATTGGTTGATTGTCAAAATGCACAGAATTTTTTGGGAAGAAATTTGTTTAGATTTATAATTTTACAAAATATTTTATGCACTCAATTTATTTTATCATATATATCTCAGTGTGCCTTTGTGCACATGTCTTATGTTGTCTGGCAAGCTATACTGCGCATGATACACAACAGTGCCGAGTGTAGTGTACACTATACGATATACATGCACTATAGTCAACACCGTTGCGTGTGTATCTTGTCGACAGTCAGTATAGCATAATGAAATATCATATAGGATAAAATAAATTGAGTCCTTTAAAATATTTTATAAAATTATAAATATAACTTATTTCTTCTTGAAAACTTCTCTTTTAACATTTCGAAACAACAAATATCACATTTGATATTTTCTATAGTACTTTAAAACTATTATAATCAGAGAAGCACTAGAAGGCACTCCATTTAAATTTATTTAAATTAAAATCATTAAATTAAAATCATTAAATTAAATATTTTGGAAATATTTCAATATTTTTCATTTTTCTTCTGATAAAATGTAAGTGGGTTTGTCCATTTATAAGCGCCATCTATTGAGAATTTGTACCATTTTTAGTTAAGAGGGACTGGCTCTGATGTCAAGTTTTTAATCGTACGTTTCACGTCGCTCCCCTGGGGATTTGATAGCAAAATTCCGTGGCAGGATCCCTGGAAAAATCCAATGGGGGTTCCTGACGAAGTGAACAATTTGTCGGAAATGAGGATAAAATCGTTTTTTTGCTCTTCACTTTTTGGACGAAAATCCCTAGCAAATTGGAAGAATTTTTCAACTCAAAATTATCAAATTATCTAGCAAATGAGGATAAAGTCGTTTTTGGCTCTTCACTTTTTTGGCGAAAAACCCTAGCAAATCGAAAGAATTTTCTCGGCCAAAAGAAGTGAAGAGCAAAAAAAAGGTCCACATTTCCAAAATTGTTGAGTAATCCGAACCTTAGGAACCCTCGTCATCACCTATGAAAATGACGAATATTACACAAAAGTGACAAATGTTACACATGCGTGCATAGCTGTTTGGCAATAGGCCTAAATAGATAAATGGCCAAAAGTGGCCGAAGGTCTATCCCAATCGCCGAAATAATAGAGTCACTAAATCTCTAGGCAGTTTTCAAGGCAATCACACAAAATGTCCAGGCTGTAAAGTTTGGCCGCCAAATTGGCCAAATTATGACCGTCTGCCCGGACACAAAAGGGACATTTTCTCAAAAAAGGATCCATAGTTTATATTGAAAATTTTTTCGATTTAGGCCCCAAGTCAAAGGTAAAAAAATGTGTATACCGCACACCACTGAAAATGTGCCGTCCCCATTACTCATAATTTTGGCTTACTATGTCATTTGGAGCCAAAAAATCACCCAAAAGACCATATTTTCATTGTATTCCAAAATTATTCAAATTTATGTATTTTTGATGTTTTGAATCTTCAATTTGGAAAATGTCCCCCATTAATTACTGATATCAAATATAAAACCTCTTTCGACGTATAGAACGAGTGAAGAAATCAAAATTTAAAACACAAAATTTCTGATATCAATTTTGTGACGAAAATAGTTGTTAGATAATTTTTCTGTGTACTATGAATGAAAACTTAATAAATATTTGTATATTCGGAATGTTGCATTGCGTTAGTAGTCCATGCTGACAGTAAAAAGGAGGAATTTCTGCAATGTTTTTAATATACAAATGTATATCAATTTTTTATTCAAAAAAGACAGAAGAATTCGTAACCAACTATTTTCGACATAAAATTGATATCAGACATTCCGAGTTTCAAATTTTGGTTTTGTCACTCGTTCTTCACCTCGACAGAGGTTTTTTATACGATAAAATATTCTATTTAAATTTTAGTCTTTTTGCGAAAAAAAAATGACGGAACAGCTGAGATTGTATTGTTGGACCATGGTTTGTATGAACATCTTGCTACTTCTACGCGGTTATCTCTTTGTAAATTCTGGGAGTAAGTTTGCGAGGGTGTTATCATTCATTTATTATTGAAGAAAGAGTTTGAGAATAAGAAAAATTGTAAATGCTTAGTGAAGTAGCGACAAACAGATTGCTAAAAAGATATTCAGAACTAGAAGACCTTTGACCTCGATTGGAAAGCCCTTAAGCCATAAATCAAGGAAAAATTCAAAAGTTTAAATATCGGACCACCTGTCTCAAAAATATGGTCTACCATCACTTACAATGGCAAATGATGTAAAAAACTGCATGATGGCGCCATCTCTATGTGCTCATGAAAATTAGAACAAAAAGTTTGTGTAGAATGTTAGTTGTTTGAAGTTTGAATACGGAATCATTTGTTGTGACGTCTGTCATTTTACGCTCGATAAAGATATACCGTGTAAATTGAACAAAAACCGATTTATTATTTGTATTTGGTGAATTTGTGATGGAAAATAAATTGAAATTACTTTGCACAGTTTGTGTCATCGAAATTAACTGCGAGGACGTTGCATATCACATGGTTTTTCTTCACACAAAATCAGTTGACATTTTTGACTTTTTCGCACCAAAAAAAAAATGTTTTAATTGCCTTTGGTGCTCGTTTGGATCGCGAGTTCAATGCCAAGCACATAGAGATGTCGCTCGGAACGTAAAGCTCAAAAAAAATATACAGGTGATATAGAAAGCAAGTGAGGGTAGAATATGGTCCTTTCAAGGAATGGAAACATTGATATTCTGATTCTGCAGATCGATACCTTTTCAACGATACTTTAAACGTCAAAATCGATCAATCCGTTCGAAAAATTTGGCCAAATTTGGCAATTTGAAAATTTCATATGATTTTGCTATAAAAGTCATATTGGTAATCTGTCTATTTGTCCGCGATTTTGCGTAGTTGTTTTGATCTTTTTGAAAATTTCTGTGATTAAATCACATAAAAAACTAAGACTTTTTTGTTTCGGCACTTTTCGATTAAGCCGCCATGTTGACCGTGGCCGGCTTTCAAAGTCTCTTTTTGACTTTTGTCCCCACGGTCACCGAGGCACATCCACTTGACACACTTATGCAAATCGTTGGAAAGGTCTTGAAGTAAGCTATCGAATTGTACCATTTTTGGTTTAAAAATTTCAATTTGGAGTAGCCAAATGTACCAAAAACCAAAAAGTTACCGTTTGGCAGGCGTATCGGCCATTATCTCGAAAACGAGCCTAACTTGGTGCATTGAAAATTTCACCGATTTTTTCCTAAATCTAAGCTATAAAACGCCACATAGCTTCTTCTAGAAAGTTCTTGTTTTCAAGATATGGCTTTTGATAGTGGAATTGTGGCAAAAATAGCTCAACTTGACATACAAAGAACATGTGAATATCGTATATATATTTTTTCTGTGTACTGTGAATAATATACATGTGCAGGGTGGCCCAGAATAACTGATATTTTTTTTCGTAACTACGTAGCTACAACTATATTGCTTTCCAATCACTCTTTAGTCTACCGTTATGTTTATTCATGTTTTGGCTGTTTCTGTGATGATGCACATTATTGCGCAGCTCTTATTTACTTTGTACGATATAATGGATGTGAAACGTCAACTCGTTTTGAATTTGCACAAAAAAAGTTTGCGACAAGTGGATATTTTTCGGCGGATTCAGACCGAAAATATCAATTTGTTATTTATTCATCGCACCATAAAACGGTACCAGGAACCTGGAACAGTCGATGTGAAGCGAAAACCGGGCAGAAAAAAATCTGTATGAACAAAGATCTGGTAAAAAAGTACGAGACAAAATTCGTCGAAATAACAAAAGAAGCGCCAGAATCTTGGCTCGTGAGCACAATATCAGTCGATCTTCGATGCAAAGTGTGTTGAAAGAAGATTCGGGAGTGAAACTATTAAAAAAAACCTGAAAACACGGTTTAACAATAAAAAATAAGCAAGACAAAAAGCGAAAATGCAAAGAACTGCTACGCCGGCGCGCAACCTCAAACATTGTTTTTTCAGATGAAAAGTTGTTCCTTTTGCAGTCGAGTCTCAATGCGCAAAATGATCGCGTTTATGCAGCGACAATTGACATTCCTGAAGATGATTTAGTCGTTAAATTTCAAAATGTGTCAAGTGTCATGGTTTGGGGCGCCGTTTCAGCCGGCCACAAATTTCCACTTGTTTTCGTTGACAAAGGCGTTAAAATTAACGCAGCTGTGTATGAAGAAGAAATATTGCGCAAAAACTTTCTGCCACATGCCGAAACTCTGTTTTGTGATGAGCCATGGGTGTTTCAGCAAGATGGAGCACCGGCACATCGAGCAAACAAAGTGCAACAGTGGTTAAGGGAAAATGTGCCTGGTTTTATTACCAAAGACGAATGGCCGCCATCGTCTCCAGACCTAAATCCATTGGACTGTTTTGTGTGTAAATGATCTGAAGATTACGAAAACAACAAAATTGGATGCATTCAAAAAAAAAATCGTCAAGATTTGGAACGATATTCCCATCGAAATGGTGCGCGCCGCGTGTAAATCGTTTTTACGACGTTTGCGTTTGGTGATCCGTCCAAATGGAGGAAGAATCAAAACCAAAACATGAATCTAAAATTATACATAACTACCAACTATTTTTGTCACAAAATTGATATCAGAAATTTTGTGTTTCAAATTTTTGGTTTCGTCACTCGTTCTTCACCTCGATAGAGGTTTTTTATTTGATATCAATAGTTTTGTAAGCGCTATTTTCCAAGTTAAAGTTTCAAGACTCATTAATTTGAATATTTTTCAAATACAATGAAAATATGGATTTTTAGGTTATTTTTGGATCAAAATCATATAAATTGTGGTTCATAATGTGGAAGAGTGGTTTAGATTTAGGCCTAAAATCGGTGAAATTTTCAAGTGACCAAGAAAGGCTAGTTTTCGAGCTAATGACCATTATGTGTCCGGCCAAACGGTAACCTTTTGGTTTTTGGCCAATATGGCCACTCCAAATTGAAATTTTTGGACCGCAAATGGCTTCATTTGATAGCTCACTTCAAGACCTTTCCAACGATATACATATGTCCGAGGTGTGTCAAGTATATGTGCCTCGGTGACCGTGGGTACAAAAGTCAAAAAGTGACTTTTGGAGGCCGGCCATGGCCAACATGGCGGCCAAATCGAAAAGTGCCGGAACAAAAAAGTCTTAGTTTTTTATGTACTTAATCACAGAAAGTTTCAAAAAGATCAAACACAACTACGCAAAATCGCGGACACAGAGACAGACATTTTGTTTTTTCATAGAGATTCATATGAAATTTTTAAAATAATAAATTTTTCGAACGGATTGATCGATTTCGACGGTTAGGGGGTCGTTGGAAAGGTATCGAGCTCTGGAATCGGAATATCGATGTTTCAGAGGTCAACGACCTCATTTAGTGCCATCCATGGTCATGAAACTGAATTTTGACCCTTTTCTTGAAAGGACCATATTTTGAAGACAGGTGGACCGATTTTCAAACTAAGACATTTTTCTTGATCTTTCCAAGGCCCAAGGGCTTTCCAACCATACATCAACCGGGGCCAAAGGCCTTCTGGGTCTGGATTTCGTATATTTCGTGTATATATAGCTAGTTCGATTTTTCAACACACTAATGTGGTTTCGTCACTCGCGAAAACTGCCGTCCGCTGTGATTTTTTCATGAAATAAAGTCATCAAGTTTGACATCACAAAAAAGTTTATAAGCATACACATT